AGCCGCAGACGGGAATCAATAAGCGCCACCCTAGCTGGCAGTGCCGATCGATACCAGACTGCGTGGCTGGACAACGCGTACCCTCCGATTCCCCTACCCTCTACGTGGGAGACGGGCAAAATAGTCGCAATTTGCCGCTCCACCGCGCGGCGATGGGCGCGGCGTTCTCTTAACTCATGTTAACTTGTAGACACCGGACTTCATGTAGACCCCGTCATCGTAGACATTCATGACTATTTTCGGTTCTGAATTGCCTGTTGTCGCCATCTACTACCTGGAACCATCGTCATTTGCGGGCGCGACGTCGCACGCGACGCTCACCAGCGCGGTGAATTACGATTCTCTTGTCACATGCCCTCTCTCAACACAAAAGCGGCGCCGATCGATTCCCTTCTTCCGTCTGCGGCTGCGTTCGTGTCTATAGGAGTTGAGCGCTGTTGCAATCGTGGGTGTTACAGCGCGTTACAGCGCGTCGACGCGCGCTATTGCGATGTCTGAACGCTGCCTACCACAGAGTATCTTGAATGCGGCTGAGTGAATTCTAAGTCGCCGTCTCGTTGACGTTTGAATCCACCGTGGACGGCAGTAGCAAAGTACAAACGAGTAGCTTTCCGCCGGTGCTCGTACGCGCAGCGAAGACGAGCCTTTGGCGCCGTTCGGCGACGGGAGCGGGGGCATATTGCATTTTCGCTGCCTCACTAAGTTTACAGGTATCCTTCTGATAAAATCTGTGAACTTTTGTAAAGCTCGAGCAAGACTATTGAGGCCACCATGGTGAAACCTGTTAACTCCTGTCAACTGCTGTAAACTCACGCGTCGACGGGAAGTAGCGAAAGTACAAAATGCCCCTCCCCTCCGTCGTCGCCGAAGTGCTCCTGATCCGTCTAACAAGAAGGATGAACAAAATAAGGTCAAAATCATGTCATGAGTATCGCAAGACTTCGATCAACCCAATAACTCTGTGTTATCAACATGCACACTCAACATCCGCCTACCGGCTCATTCTTCCGTAATGCGGAGAATTCCTGTACGAAGTCCGATTCCTAAGGCTAAATAAGCTGCATCAGAACAATGTTGTGGTAAGAGATAACAACCGTTTCTCAATTATACGGTAACCGTGCAGAAAGGGGAGGAATGATGGGCAGAAATAGTAAATTCGACTTCATTTACATCATTTCGCAAGACTGCGCTGCTTACCCTCTGCTGTCCCACTCTTTTGAAATTCTGGGCTCTATTTCTCTTGAAATCGGTTCGCCAAGATAATCTGAACCCTTCCAACAAGAATATCTTCGTGGGTCGAGGATGTCCGGATTCCGAGCTACAGACACCTTGACTTGGAGCCACCGAGACCACTGAATACTATATGGGTCGATGGCTCCCTGCGGCCTCGTTTAGCGCGGAAACGATGGTCCCCGCGCCACAGCTCGCCCCCCTTGCCACACGTGCGGTCCTAGGGTCGAATTCGAAAATTTTTTTTCGAATTTTTTCGTGGCTGAGACAGTCAAGGCTCTTTGCCCACGGACCGGTAAGTTGGTACGAACGTTCAAGAAGTACTCGTCGAACTAGATGTGTACTGTAGCGCTAGCGTCTACGATGCGGGTGCTCGGCATTCTTTGTGTCAAATGAACTTGACTTTCATGCTTAAAGGATAAAAAGGATGAAGTCTTCGCCGTTGATCAATCCCTTTGTGGGATGCGGCACGCATTCTACTTCCATTCAGAATCGTAGTGGCTTATTGAATGCGATGTGGCCTATACAATGACTTGCGGTGGCCAGCCGATGTACAAGTCAGTGTTTTATCCTCCCAGACGAATCTGGTACCAATTTACCGTCCCCGGAGGGTAGAAGCTTGGTTGGCCTGGGCGGGAGTCGACCCGGGATTCGAACCCGGCGCCGCGCGAGTGGTAAGCGCGCCACTTGTCACTACACCACCTCCGCCCGAAGTTCGTGCTTAGGTGGTTAAATAGACACCGGGAAACAAGTTTCTAGCTAGTCGCGATTTCAACCTAGATTTCAAAAAGTGGAGCGCAGATTTACTCTAAGAATAGATTTCGCAAATATATTCTGTAGCAACTGTACCCTCACCTTCCGTTGCTTGTACTGGAATTCCGACTTAGAATCGGTTCTGGGTCCAGGAGATTCTCTCGGCTTCCGAAGCGAGATTCAGTGCTATCAGCATCGGAAGCTAAACCATCTTCCAGAGCATCACCAAATCGCACCGAATTTCCAGAAGATGGTGCCAAATCGAGGTCACCTTCAGTTTGAGCTAAAACGATTGGATATAGTAGAAGTAACGTCTCCAACACAAACCATTCCTTTTACTTACTTGAGATCCATTCCTGAAAGACTCTCCATGAGCCACTTGTGATCGGTGTTCATCTCTGTTGAGGCCACCATCGATCTGAATTTTGGAAATAAACTGGATCATAAAAGAAGCAGAAGATTATCAAACCTTCTTCGTTGTTCCGAAGGCAGCACGTTAGATGGTGAGTGAACGATCGTATCACGACGAGTAACTTCAACTTCGACATCTGCGACATCTTCGTCCTCTTCAGGTAACGTCAACGCCTTTCTCTACAAGTGTAAAAGAGGTGCAGAGTATGAGAGGAATGTATTTTTTGGATACAGAACACAAAAACCGAGATGAACCACATTTTAGTTTTACATTCTCAAAACTCAGAGCTATTCTCTCATAGCACAGGCTGCACGATGAGCTAAGCAGCTTTTGAATGTAGTGAGTTTGGCCAACAAATAGCAACCTCTCCCCCTACCAGGGTGAGGAGAGGTTTAAATGTTTCAACAAGACAGGTAGACAGGCTGATAAATGATTTAGACTGCGTTCATACTTTGCAGGCAGTGCCCACCAGCGATCTCCAGCGTTTCGAGCGACCGCCAGCGTACAACAGCCTTCAGCAGCAGAGAATGAGAAAGTAGGAAGGCAGCAGGCAGCTGGATCAGGCGTCGTGAAATTGTGGCGTGTGCAACCGCACCGTACAACTAGACTACACCGTACATTAAATTGCATGATTCTGTTCGTTAGCAGCTCTATGGAGCGGCTGCACAACACTACGCCTAATCCAGCGGTCTGCTACCCTTCTACTTCCCCATACACTCTACTCCTCGACGCCGGTAGACGCTGGCGTTCGCTAGATCGATATTGCTTTTTCCTAGTCGCTGGCGCTGGCTAACGCTGGAAACGCAGGTGATCGCTGGTAGACGCTGCCGCCCGGCATGAATGCAGATTTAGGCAGCTATGCTTAACCAGTGCTCCATACACATCGAAGAGGAATAGAACATACCTTGTCATATTTCAAACCCGGAACGTTTGCTCCAAAAGCTTTCAAAGTCTCGACGAGAAGGCGCACCATAGTCCAATCCCCAAGAGGGATCTGAACGGTGAAACGCAAATTCAGAAATTATGCTATGAAAAAAACGAAGCTTTTAGTTGCGTACGGAGGGTTGTGTCAGGCGGGATGAGTTCGGCGCGATTTCATACCTGTTCTCCACCAGCTGTGAAGCGAGCAAGTGACAAGACTGATCATACCATACGTATTCGTTCTTATGTGCCAGTTGTTGTCGCATACTCCCTTCAACAACTGGCAGAGAACTGGGTTTGACGCCGTGCACACTCATACTGCCTGACACGCCCCTTCATCCGCAGCGAACTAGAGTATGAGCGAACTAGGTTCTTACCCCTAGCGCATCTTTCAAATCTTGAAGTGGACACGAGGCCAAAACGAGACCGCCAAGATTAAGTTGTTGGAATTTGCGTATGATATTGTCAAGTCTATTAGGGGCAATGTCCAAGCGTTTCACAAGGTTACACACAGCATCCAGCTTCATCTCCACAAGCGGGGTATTGACAGTATTCCAAACTTTCTCGTCCTAAAATTCAGGTGACAGTAATGCTTCGTTCACAACAGGGTGCCATCTTCAACAATATTCAACAGTCATACCCCAAACAGATACTTCGCAACTGGTGGTATCACTACTGTGCCTAGCCCAAGCTCTTTTACTGGATCTTCCATGCCTTGACGCCGTTCTGAAACCAAATTATAGTTTGACTCAAATCAGAAATGAGCCAGTCTGGCTCAGTTCATTTTCTGATGGCTTACTCGGGAACCGTTGAAAACTTTGCCCAACTGTCATGATCACTGCAAACGACAGAGCATGCTACGCGGCGCGAATCGCAGCGCGGAAGCCTGAGTTCGATCAGCTAATGAGAAACCTGATACAGCTGCGCTCCACGCCATGCCCCCGTAACACGCCCTAACCTTTGCAGGTCACGACTGTAATTTCTAGCACCCATCCTTTGCCTACGGTAAGCAGTTTCTGAGCCACAAGGGTGACGAAGACAAGAAATCGAGTTTGAATACTTACTCTTCGGTCTAATGAACTGTGACAAGACGTACCTCTGATTAATTTCCTCAGATAAGGATCGAGATTGCTGGTACATGGGACAAACTTTTTCACATGCCCAACTGTAAGCTGCTCAGAACTAGGGATTGCCGGCGAATCCAAAAAGGCCTTAAAAATAGCAAATGATAACCAGTGAATAGAGTGATACTAACCTGCTCACCTCAAAGTTATCCGGATTCCTATCCAACTCGATTAACGCGTCTTTCTTCGGGATATGGTCTTTAAGCTGGTGATATACCTGAACATATATTAATTTTACTAATTTATA